GATGATGATGCTGATGTATCAAGTTGTTGTTGTTGTTGTTGTTGTTGTTGTTGCTGTTGTTGTTGAAATGGATGTACATGATGATGTGTATGTATATGATGATGATGAAGTGCATAAGCTGTTGCTGCAGCAACGCTTGATGGTGATGTTGACATGATTTGAAAATGTGAGAGAGAAGAAAAAAATCATTAACAAAAAAATACCTAAAAAAAAAAGAAAAAAAAATTAATTATTAGTTTATGTTTTTTATTTTTTTATTTGCTTTTATATATATATGAATATATTTTTATTACTTACCATGATTTTTCTATCAATTAAATTAATTTATATATGAAATAATTAAATTTCAATTATTATAAACTGAATAAACAAAAAAAAAAAAAAACAAAAATCGGCTACTGAAAATATTACGGTAGTGCTTGAAAAGAAAGAACTACTGAGAATCGTAGTGTTTATTTGAATATCAATATGAGAATAGGGATAGCTGTCGGTACTCGTGCTAGTTTTGAATGCAAATGAAATTCAGATTTGCCGCCGTCCGATGCTTCTTCTGTCAAGAAGTTGCTCTCTTTCTCTTTCTCTCTCTCTCCCTCTCCTTCTCTTCGTATGGCCTAGTCGTGATGACAAGATAGCTTCTCATTTATTTGTGTATATGCATGCAACAAGTGCATCGCGAACGCGCGAGAGAGAAAGAAGAGAAAAACGGGTTGGTTGATTGAAGGGAGTAGGAACTTGAATTTTTTTGATTGGATAGTATGACCTTTAGGGAGAAGAAAAAGAAAGAAAAAAAGAATGATCGGATTCCTTTTCTTTTTTTTTTTTTTGCTTTTTTTTATCGTTGGCATTGCGTGATTGATGGATCTAATCGTATGTGTGTACACAAGACATTTCCTGTGTCACATATAGAAAAAAAAAAAAAAGAAAAGAAAAAGATGATAGTCAAAGAAACAAACAAACATATAGCAGATGGTCCTATCAGTTGGAGATCGACCATTTGTAATTAGACAAGTCTAGAAATACAAGTCGAAAATTAAATTAGCTAGTTGTTTTTTCTGCCTAAATAGTCAAGATCAGAGATACGGGAAATTAAGCTAATCGAGTTGTTTTTTGTCATTGTTCATTGTATTGGATACAGTTAGTAAAAAAAAAAAAAAAAAAAAGTTGATGATCGATCGAGTCTAATTACAAGGCTTCTCTTATCGAAAGAAAAGGAGCTAAAACTAATCCTCTCGCACCTTGACAAATACACACACACACACGACCTTTCAACACCTATATTTCGTTTATAATGATGGATTTGGACTTTTCGTTTTTTTTTTTTTTTGTTACTCTTTTCAACCTACAGATATATTTATATATATATATATATATGTGTGTATATAGTTTGACTGGTTTCGGTTTTATTCTTTTCTTGTTTGAGTTTCTTTTTTCTCCCTAGATACCTTGAAAAAAAGAAAAGAAAAGCATCACGCATACACACTCAAATAATCAACATTTGGCACTTGCCCACCTTAAAACAAATAGACAAAAGAAAAAAAAAAGGAAACATAACAATACACGTGCTAAGTCACAAGAGAATGAAATTTTCAATTCAATAATAAGCAAATAAAACTCGAATTTTTATTTCTTTTTTTTTTTTTGTTAAATGTGCATGGTCACATTATTATCTCTAGTCATTTTCTTTTTGCATATATGCAAATGTTCTCTCTTCCTGTTAGATTCTTTTTCGAAGACAAAAAAAAACAACAACAAAAATCTTTCTACACACACGCACACTATTTAGTATATCCATATGATTTGATCATTTTCTTTTCTAGTCTTCAAAAAGAAGAATCAAGCGGCATCGATCATATTTCTATTAGATCTATACAATATACACTATTCTTTATGGCTCACATACATCTTGTTGACATTTCTAGAAATTTAGTGAAGCAAACTTTAATCGAATTAGAGATCTACACTGAATGGATACATAAACATATATATATATATATATATATGAAAAAAGAAAAACTTATATTCAATGTCAACAATAAATGATTTTAATTATTTTTTTTATGAAATATTATGATTGGTTCTTTTCTTATTTGTCTAAAAGTAAAAAAAAAATAGACTGTATACATCAATAAGTACCGATCTGATTTCGTTCTATGTCTTAAGTTGAATGACAGTAAGATGAAGAGTAAAGTCAAGCATATATCTGAATTGAATTGATCTATTCATAAATATGCACAAAATGAACAAAAGAATAACAAGACAAGACTATTAATCATTTGTTGTACAGTGAAGCAGATGAGTCCAATCAAGAGACCGGATGGAAATGGGTGGAGTCAACAGATAAAGACGTGACATACATATATAAATAATTTTATCAAGTTGAAGAGAAGTTTTTTTTTTTTTTTTTTTTTTAATTAGTTGATTAGAAACAAGTGAATAAGTTAAATCATAGGAAGAAAGATATATTTACTTGTCGAATTAAAAACAACAAAAAAAAAAAAAAAAAGAAAAGAATATTGTGAACATCAAAGATATGAAAACATCATTCAATTCAATTATTTTACCCTTTTTTTTTTCTCTTCTTTCTAATCTTATTAACCAATGATGACAAGCAATTGACGATATTCGAACTCTGTTTTTTTTTTCTTTTTTCAAATGTTCCATCCACTTTTTTATATGATATGATGGCTATTAAACAAAGATAGATCAATTTCAAGTGATGGCTTTATTTTTCTTTTTTTTTGTTTCACGCACGCACGACTTGTTCCGCCATTTATATATATATATATATAGATGTGTGCATGTTCGTTCGTATGAGTATATGTCAGTAAACACTAACTACTAAAACAAGTGGCAAATGGTTGTCAATACTAATGGAACGCGACCCATTTACTAGTTAGTCATTTATGACTCGTGTCAAATTACTCACTTCGAATTGTCATCAACATTATTGCAATCAATAGAGGACGCCAAATGACGTTCAAAATAATATATTTGAACGCAATAGTAGAATTGTTCGAACATGTTGTAGATGTCATTCTAAAATAAATTTTTGATGTCAAAAATAAAAAAATATTGAGATAATCTAAAAAATTAATAGATGAATTTTTTCAAATATGTGACATGTTTATTTAATGAATTCTATGAGGATCCTTAAAAATGACTATAATACAGTATTACTGCATTAATTTTCATAATCCACCAGTGCAGTTTTCTTGCTAGTATTTTTACTGTTATCGTAAACGGCGATATAATGCCGTCGGTTCTCGTTGTTTGGGATGTAAAAATACCTAACACTTACAATAGTTTTCTTGTCAAGAGTCTGTTGACAGGAATGAAAATGTTAAAAGTTTGTATAAAATATGCAAAGAAATAACGTGTGATTGTTTCAATGTAAAGAAAAAGAGTAAATTTTGCAGTTACAAAAGCTTAAAAAACTAACTATTGTAATTTTTAGTTATATTTGAAAGTTACTATTTTTTGAAAATGTTTTCCATTTATGTATTTTGATTATTATCATTTTTCTCTTATCGAATATATGATATTGCAAATATCATAACTTCTTAACACACAAGAGTTCCTAATATTAAGTAAAAGTTAATATCAAACAAAGAACAATAGATATTCGAAGACTAATAAATATAAAGATGATTGATAATTCTTGTCAATATCAATTAAATATAAGTTTTAAATAAATGTAAAAGTCTACAATGAATATGTTCTACATATATCTCAAAAGCCGAATCAATGTCATTTATTTCTTCAAAAAAAAATATTTTCTAAAAGCTTCTTCCTTCCGTCGTACTTTCCGATTACAATAAAAAATAAATGATACTTAAGGAAAAGAAAAGAAAAACATTTCCGTATTAGAAAATAGTTTCGTTTACTTCCGGTCAGAACAAAATTTATCTTGCTAAACTTTCATGAATAAATACCGACTGAATGAACACTGAATTCTACATTATGTCTATCTGTAGAACACAATGTTTATATTCCGACAAGTATATACAATGAAAAAAAGAAAGAACTCTTTTTTTTTTTTTAGTATTGCTTATAAAATTTTGTACAAGTCAAACATATGAATATATTAGATTTTTATTTAAAAATATTAAAAACTTACTTACCAAGTAATAAAATCGACGAATATCATTCTTCTTCTTCTTCTTCTTCTCCTTCTTCTTTTACATCTTTCGTCTTGCATTTATCGAGAAAACTCGAGAAAGTGACAACGAAAAAAAGAAGAGAAGAGAGAACTACAGAGAGAGGAATTATCATAAACTGAATGCAATAAAATGAATATACATACTATTTGCATACATAACGGAGTGCGCGGACACGAGCTCCTGTTCGCTTCTCAACGATGAGAAGATGCAAGCATGTTACGTTCACGGCGCGAGAAAGAGAAAAAAAGAATTTTTGAGACATTGCCTAATGAGATCAAATTTGAATTTGAATATATATACATATTCTCTTCTTATTTCATTACCTAGTGTACAGAAAAAAAAACCGATTGTTCGTCTATATTTATAGCAATTGTCCGAAACGATGGCAATACAATAATCATGAAAAAAAAAAAGAAAGAAACCAATTTCCATTCTATTCTCTCTGTGTTTTTTTTTCCAATAGATAGATAATCATAATGATCAAATAATCTATCATGAAATAATTTTTTGAAAAAACCTAAATAAAAAAAATCAAATACCTATTGCAATACGACATAAGACACTTTATTATATCCGATATGATTGTGATTGTTGTTGTTAGTGACAAGTCATATAAACATGTAGCTTTTCATTTCGTCTCATTTTTTTTTTTTGCCTTCTAATTGATTATGCATACATCATCTCTTCTTCTGTCGTCGTCATCACATTATATGACCTCACACTGATTTTTTATTCATGTAAATTTTTTTTCTCATTCGCTTCATTTATGTACATCATTGATATATATATATATATATATATATATGCTGATCTGATCGTCATTATTATTGCAGACAAGAAATCGGCTATTATTGCATACGACTTATATTTGTTGAAGAGAAAGAGAGACTGAATAATCCTTCTTTTGAATGTTAATTTCAAAAATACATTAATTCAAATTCGATCGTTGTTGTCGAGCAATACAATAATGTTTACCATATAACGAAAGAAGTAAG